TACTACTACGTAACTACGTTACTTACTATAGTATATATATATATATATATATATATATATATATATATATATATATATATATATATATATATATATATATAGCCAGCCATAGTCATAGTCATATACAGAAATGACACTGATATTTATGCAATCATATCTGTACACACCCACACAGGAAATGACATCAATGAGGTGCTCATGTCCATCTTAGTGGCCCTGCTAGACGCAGCCAAGCACACATCATCAACCATGACTAGTGCGAACAGAGCAGTATACATGATCAATATCATCTCCGCGGTCCAAAGCTCGCTGGGATTGTACGAGTTTGCCGATGGCACACTCAAAACTATGGACGAGAAGATGTCGGTGTATGTCTCGGATATGGAGCACGCGCAGGTATGTCATATACACACAGCTACAGGTCAGTACGCGCTAAGCTCTAACCCTAAACCCTAAACCTTAAGCCCTACAAACCCTACAAACCCTACAAACCCCTTAACAGGCTTGCTATCCTCCTAACACCGGACATTAGTATAACTGACCCTTTGTATGCCTCGCGGTTGTATACGCATGCACCTCATTAGGATATGTGTATTATCATAGCGTGCACGAAGACATGGCGGCGGAATCGTGCGGTTTTGAAGCAGAACAGGCAGTGGTAACACAATTAATCACAATCCTATCAGAACAAACATATTTTGACACCGCACACTCGCTCTATCACCGTTTATACACACATACACAACACCGGGCAATGTATTATAGGTATCACTTCATCACACGCCTAACACCACACATTCACTCCAACAACGTTTGTACGCACATACACAATACCAGGCAATGTATATACTTTCTCGCACGGACATGGCCGGCAAGCTGGCGATTTTGAAACAACATCAACAGGAGGTGGGCGTAGAGAAGCGGCCTCTCAGTCAGGTACAATCACGCACTTGCTGATGTAGATAGGACTTAAGTGTGTTGATATGAAGAAACAAGGTTAATAAACGTACTACGAGCCTAACGTAATAACAAGCATGTGTGTGTTATTGCTATCGTACTCAATTCTACTTCTGTTTTAGGTCAACGGGATGTTCGCGGCCGAGATCAAAATGGCCATGACTTCATTCGACCGCTTCCTTTCAATGTCTCAACAAGGACTCAGCTTGCCACAGGTAATATTGTCTGATATTTCTATATTTATATTTATATATATATATATATATATATATATATATATATGTGTGTGTGTGTGTGTGTGTGTGTGTGTGAGTAGTGTGTGTGTGTGAGTGTGTGTGTGTATATATATATGT